CTGGGCCTGTATTAGGTGGAATGAGGTCAAGGCCAACATGAGGAGTGTGCTGTAGATGAATCTGACTCTATGTCTTCCCTTCTCCTGGGTTGGCTCTTGCCATTGGCTAGCCAGAGATGAATGTCTGGGCTGGTTTATGGTTTTCTAGACAAAAAAAAATGAAGAGTTTCCACTTTTGTTGCTTATGTGATGAAGGGCACTGTATTCCAATCTGAACTTTGATGAGGTCCTTCAGGGTTCACCATACTTGTGTCTATCAAATTAAAGAACCCAACGAGGCACTGAACCCCAATGAACTAGAGATGGTTGATCTCCCAACACCCAAAGGAGACAGAAAACAGAACCTAACAATGTAAATGGCCAACAGGTTGGCAATGGCTAGGCCTCTACACAACTTTGTTACCAGTCTCCCATGGCTACCAGGGTCAGGGACCAGGGCAGCAGACTAGCAGCAAGAAAGGAATCAATAATTACCACAGAACATCAGGTTGCACATCTGGGAGACAGGTAGGGCTAATTCCAGGTCCAACTCTGCCTTAAAATTGTCTTATGGCCATTGGCAGGTGAAACAGCTTCTCTAGCTTCAGCTTTCTCAAGGTTAAAATGATAGAGCCGTGAAAAATGACCTCCATGCACATTCCCTGAAACCAGAGGGTATGGCTCAGTATTGTCTTGGTTCCCAGAGCCTAATGCTATGTCACTATGGGTTCCAAGTCTCGACTGCTGCTGGTGTCCTTCAAGCACAGAGCAGAGAGCATCAGCTCCAGGACATCAGAGCATTGGCCACACGGCTGGGCATCTGGGATTCTGACAAGGCTATGATAGGCAGAAAGTTATTGGCTTACCTCATACCATGGCACACACCACTAGTAAAGCAAGATATTTTCCTCAAAATCCCTTTCACCTCAGAGCTCCTAGAAGACACAACACAACTAATACGTAAGATCAAGCCTAGCCAGGTATTGGTGGTGCACACCTTTAATCCCAGCACTGGAGAGGCAGAGGCAGGCAGATGGGAGTTGGAGACCAGCTTATTCTAGTTACACAGTGTAGCTAGAGTTTTCCTGCCTTGCCCACAGTCAGGACAAATCTTTGTCACCCACCAGTCCCACAGCTGCTCAGACCCAACCAAGTAAACACAGAGACTTATATTGCTTACAAACTGTATGGCCATGGCAGGCATCTTGCTAACTGTTCTTATAGCTTAAATTAATCCATTTCCATAAATCTGTACCTTGCCACGTGGCTCATGGCTTACCGGCATCTTCACATGCTGCTTGTCATGGCAGCGGCTTGCAGTGACTCCTTCTGCCTTCCTGTTCTTTCTTTTCTCCTCTCTGTTAGTTTCGCCTATACTTGCTGCCTGGCCACTGGCCAATCAGTGTTTTATTTATTGACCAATCAGAGCATTTGACATACAGACCATCCCACAGCAACACAGAGAAACCCTGAATTGAAAATCCAATTACAAATAAAATAAAATAAATAATAGTAGATTTGCTAGATTCAATCCATCGCCCCGCCCTCATCTCTTTCTTTGCAACTCAATGTTCTTCATTCTGTAGCATGAAAATGAACTGCTTTTCAATGGGAAATTCAGCTCTTATAGATGACCGTATTTTAATTAGGGACTTTAAGTAATTGAATTACTTGGGTGATGGTGTTTGTGTTATTATATTAATGAAGAGGTATGTCCTTCTAATTTAGCACTGGGTAAGTAAGTAGTAATGCATTTACCACATGAACATATTACTTAGAGAAGACAGTCAGAACATGCCTGGGCCTCTCTTTGGTCCATGGAACACATAGAAAGCAGTTGCTCATGACACTGTGATAATACTGTTTTCTCAGTTCTGAGTAATGCTGTTACTCGAACCTCCTTTGGGAGATTTCCACAGCCTAACAGAGTTTCCAGCAGTTGGTACCAATTATCTTTGACTTAATCTACTCACTTGCTTTCATTTATATTGCTTTGCAACAGTCTTAGTTATTCACCCTTTTCCTAGAAAATGCTCACCATGATTATGGAAAGGCAGCTGTAACATCCCTTCCTGACCAGGACTAAGAATTCTTCTGAATGTGTATATCCCAATTGGGTTACAAATTCTTCTGGGATGTAGTGCATCATCTCCCATGAATTTTTCATACTCTTCCTGGAATCATTTCCAGGTTACCTACACCCGGACAAATGTGCTGCCTATCCACAGTAGCATCCAGTCCTGGTTGACTTTCTTCTGTCGACGTGATCATACTGTCTGGGCTGGTTCTTGATTCCCTTTCCTTGACACTTTGAAAATCCATATTTCATGTTTTCTCACTGAAAGATGGTTCTTCTCATCGATCACAGCTAGGAACAGAGAAGATAAAACATTTGAAGAAATATTAGTTCCTCTTCTCACTGTTGTGGTCAAACATCCAGAACAAGCAAATTGAGGAAGGACAGCCTTTGGTTCCTGGAGTCAGGTGACTCAGTCCATCATGGCAAGAAAGGCATTGTGATTGAGGTAGCCTACGCTGGTGGAAGCTTATGGTGCAGTTTTTGTTTTTTGCTTTTTTTTTTTTCCATTCTTGGCAGATCAAGAAGCAGATAGTTTAGGTGGGAACCAGAAGTGAATACTACCTTTAACGCCTACCCCATGAACCCACTTCTGCTAAGTACACACTACAGTATCAGATACCCCGCAGCTTCCCCAAAACACCAACACCGACAAATGGGGGTCAAGTGTCCAACCACATGAGTGAGCCTGTGAGAGACATTTCACACTCAAACCATACACATAAAAGGCACACAACTGAGGAAGACTAGGATATCAGAATAAGACAGGAAAAACCAAGTCCTCACTATAATGCAGCAGACCCCTAGTAGAAAGCAACACCATAGAAGGTTATGGTAGCATGCCTCCTCCACCTGAAAGACATTCTTGAATATGGAGGAATCAACACATACCCACACATGGTACACCCAACGGTATACACAAAACACCTTGGCACAGAAGGGGAGCCAAGATACGTGGGACATAGCCTGGAATGTTGGTTGGGGGTTAACATTAGGAGAAGCCTGGCTGTGGAGCTCATAAAACTGGAACTTCACATGGATGGGACTCTTCCAAGACCCTGGGGACAGGCTTGGCAATGTGTTTACACAGTCAGATGTTCTTGTAAAATATGCGGAAAAAATATTTACAAAACTCTAAGTACTTTTGGTTGAGACCTCTGTCTCTAGTTCTTCCCTTTCCCCTCCCTCTTCTCTCATGTGGAAGTGTGCCCAGACTATGAGAGCTCTGTGGCTCCATGTGGGGGAAGTAGAGTCAGGGATAATACTGCTGGGTTAATGGGTTATTGAAGAAGTTCATAGCCACTTGTATGTAGGACTAAGTCAATGCTCTCTCAATGTGGACATAAATTCCAAAATTCCCCTTGTTCTATACCCCACTCCTCTTGCTGTGATGGGTAGGTATAGAGTCTAGAGCTCAAAACTATAATGAGAACATATTCTACAGGGCAGCACTGGTATGGCCTGATGGTGCAGAAGAAATTAGGATTTAATGTGTAGAAGCAGAAACTCCTTATTGGGAAACTCTTCCTGTTATCCAATGTGTAAAATGATAGATAACTCCATATTAATTCACCTGATCAAGATGGAAGTGTTAAGGAGGCAACTCAGTGGAAAAACATTTGCCTAGTGTGTGCGGGCCCTGGGTTCAATTACTGGCACCCCACCCCACCAAACCACGCCTGCACAAGCAAGGAGTAAACAGAAGCAGTCTGTCGAGAATAGACTGAAGAGGGGCTAGAGAAATGGGTCAGCCTGCTGCACAAGCAGAAGGAGCAGAACTCAGGCCCAGCACCCGTGCATGCCTGCAACCCAGCACTGAGCGAAGACGATCTGGGAGGATCACTGGGACGTGCTGGCTGCCAGCCTTGCTGCAAAACACAGACTTCATGTTTAGCGGGGACCTTGCTTCCAAAGAAATAAGGCAGAGAGGGACAGGGGAGGATACAAAGGCCGCTCTGGGCTCAGAGCACATATGCAGGCAAACATGCAAGAACACACACGTACATACATATACCACACAAACATTTATCAGAAGCACACAAATCCATAGACACAAAGACACACAAAAGAGATTAGATCAAACCAATTTTATGTTTAAAATAATGGAAGGACTGCACAACATCTTTGTTGATAGAATGGGTGGGGTGAAAGGTCAGACTTCCTATGTGATTCTAGACACAAACAAACCCCAATGCTAGAGGGCTACCTTGATATAGCTTATGCTACAAGTATCCTATGTATAGTCTGCTAGCTCCAGAGGAAGCACCTTGGAAAACAGTCATTGATCTAGTGATAAAAAACCTTGAATTCATTAACTAATAATTGGTCAAGATGTGTTGCAAAAGCAAAGTTTAATTAAATGCTCATACAGCTAAGTGGTATCATAACTTCATTTTATGTGCATGAGTGTTTCGCCTGCATGGATGTATGTGTACCATGTGTGTACCTGATGTCCACAGAAGTCAGAGTGGGCATCAGATCTCCTGGAACTGGAGTCACAGGTGGTTACATGCTATCATGTGGATGCTGGGCACTGAACTCAGGTTCCCTGCAAGAGCAACAAGTGCTCTTAACTGCTAAGCCAGCTCTCCAACCCAAGGAATGCATTTAAATTGCTCCTATGTACACCTTAATTTTGAGTTGGTTGGATGCATATTTATTATTTATATTAAAATTCAAAATGCAATATCCAAGAAGTAGCCTGCTAGATTCCCAAACTATAAACTGAATAAAAGAAGACCAGAAGATGTCAAAAAGATCTTTCCTACATATCACTACAGAAACATAAGAGATACATAATAAAAATGATGCAGGAGAAATTAAAAAAGTGCTATAAAAAGCAAGAAATCAAGACCCAAAACAGGAAAGGAAAAAAGCAGAAAAACCATGAAAATAAATAATATAAGACATTTTTTAAGATTTCTTTATTATTTTTTGCTTACAGGTATACATGTGTGTCTACATGAGTTTATGTGCATCACATTCATGCAGGACCCACTGGAATTGGAGTTGTGGTCTCTGTGAGCCATCAGGTGGGTGCTGGGACTAAACTCGGGTCCTGTGCAAGAGCAGTAAGTGCTCTTAACTTCTGAGGTATCTGAGGCCCCCTAAAAGGCATCTCACATGAGTAGTACACAAATGCCAACAGCAGCTTTAGGCCGATGTCTTCACTGATAAATACTGTGGTCTTGCCATATAGATTTTTCAGATTTCTACAGTTTTTACACAAGTCTACATAGGGTACAGCAGACACTCCTCAGGTGTTGGTTACTGGGCATTCCTTTTTATAAAAGCAACTCCTGTTCATAATTTTTAGCTTTTTGACAATGGGAAACTCATTTATCTGTGACTCTATCCAATAAACTCAGTCATGGGACAGCAGAGTCATTTTGAAAGGGGAACAAAAAAGCCACAGCACTCTTCCAAAGCATGAGTCATCACATTCCCTGGTCTCTTCCAAAGCATGAGTCATCACATTCCCTGATCTTTTCCAAGAAAAATCTGCCTTCACAGGACTGAGAGATAGATCCCTGCATCAGTTAGCATGTTTGTGTTTGAATTGCCTCTTGCTTTAGGAATACCACACAAACCACAATGCAATTTACTACATTCAAACACAGAAAAAGAAATGGGGTGAGATGGGGCCCTGGAAAGATGGCTCTACTGGTTAAGAACATTGTATTCTCTCACAGAGGACCCAGGTTCAATTCCCAGCACCCATGTGGTGGCTCACAATTGTCTGTAACTCCATTTCAGGAGAACTAGCATCCCTACTGACCTCTGCTGATACTGCATGTGGTATGCTTTCACACATGCAGGCAAAATACCCACATGTATAAAATAAAAACAAATGAATATTTTTAAAGAAAAGAAAAAAAACAGTAAAATTCATCTTAACAGCATGTCTTCTTTGTAATCAGTAACATATAATTGAATATTTCAAATGTGAACATTAAATGTCAATATCTTTAAAAATTTCTAACTTAAATGTATGGATTTTATTTATTTTAAAAAATTAAGAATAATTTATTTATGTGCATTCAGGCACCAGGGCCCACCTGACACTTTTTATAGATGTGACACTTCAATGAACTACTGAGCAAGCTACAGGCTGGGTATCCTCTGCAGGTGACACCAGGGAGGCTCAGTTAGGTGGGCAGCTGGTGTGTCACCCTGTACTCTGGTGGCACTACATTGCCTCAAAGCCTCCCGCACTGTGCCCTGAACCCCCAAAACAGCAGCACAAAGCTTGTCCTTGGGTCCCCAGGAATCAAATGCACAAAATTTTCCCACGTCCAGATCTTATCAGCACGTCAGGCTCTGGAAAGCAGTATCACTCACTGGCCAGCTAGGTAGTAAGCTTTGTAAATATTCCTATTCCCTGGTTTCTAGAAATACATCACACAAGTAGAATCCTCGCAGAAGTCTGTTCAGTAATTCTAAGTTCTGTTTGAATTAGTACAGTTCCTATTTCCCCCGGCTTTAAATAAGTAGAATTTAGACTTCAGGTGTTGTCCTAAAGGAATGGAGACCAAACCCCAGGGAACGAAGCACATTTGAATGAGCTACTTCTATGTAACTGAACATTGACTGTCTCCTCCTAAGACTTCCAGTTTCTGAAACATTTTGTACATTTTTATGTATTAATTACTTATTACTCAAATACTCATCCGCTGCCCACAGAGCCTTTGTTATCCTAACACGGTTTATTCTCCTCAGTAGGCCACAAAGATGACATGCATTTTACCCCTCTTTATTTTGTACTCTTAAATTGCACAGGATCAAACCCTGGCATCCATAGATTGTTTTTTTATTCATCTGATTTAAATAGCCAAGTCTGAAAGTATTGGTGTGGCCATTAAGCTAGGGCTGACTGGTACATCATTATCTGAGCTGCTGAGAGACAGACGTGAGCCCTGAGAGGTCAACTGACCTCTCATAAATTAATAACATAGAGACTGGCTTGGGTCCTGACCCAAGACACCTATCCTCCATCGGGCACTACTCAGTTCCTCATGTACCGCAGAAACATTAGGTTCACAGGCAGCATGGAAGTCACAGAGGATCCTGATGAACTTTTCCTGCTACCGTGCTAATGAGTTATAATCATTGCCCACATTTGTTGAGCAGTAATAATTCAGGGCCCCTGCCATGTGTATAATTCACACTGCCCTGTGCAACTCTCACAAGCACCCTGTGGGTAGGTCTAGTATTTCCCCACAATTTATCTTGCGGAAACAGAAGGAGAGATAAAATAACATACTAGGGAATAGCAGAAGAAGGTGGGATCCCATTCTGAGGATGGCAGGCCTTCAAGTACTGTGACACATCAATAAGAGCTTTAGGCTGAAAATGCCACCCACATACTGTCACCACGTCGGTCAACTGAAAACGACGAGTCTGTCTGATATAGAGAAGTACCTGTCCTGGGGTAGTGACATCGTCTTTAATGTCCTGACTCTCAGGCAGGACTTTTTGAGGAGGTGACTTCCATGTTGGTGTGATAATGATCAACATTAGGTGTGTGTGTCTCACGTCACTGATACCAAGGTGCTAGTTCTGAGGAGACCAGGTTCACATATTAGCACTGTCAGTGATCCCTCACGTCAACCTGGGCATCTTTAACCATCCTCAGCCCTGTTCTCTTCAGAAATTATCTACATATTTTAATAATATCCATTACATAGGGCTTTTAAGAGGACTGCATAAAACAATTGATGTGGATGTTTATTTCTTGCACACACTAAGAACACTCCATGGCTACTAGCAAATAATAAGACTTCTCTTGATTTATCTGTAAAATGAACCAGACATATTCAAGGACCCACAGCAGACTGTGAAAAACCACCCAGGCAAGGCAGAGAGAAGGAAGTCTGTTGGGGAATATTATTTTAAGGTATAATACTTTTGTTTATGTTGTATTTGTTTAACTCTGCGAAGCTGTGTTACTGTGCCTGTCTAAAACACCTGATGGGCTAATAAAGAGCTGAACAGCCAATAGAGAGGCAGGAGAAAGGATGGGTGTGGCTGGCAAACAGAAAGAATTAATAGAAGGAGAAATCTGGGAGAGGAGAGATCTAGGAAAGAGAGGAGGAGGAGGACATCGGAGGCCAGCCACCCAGCAACACAACCAGCCATGGAGTAAGAAAGAAAGGTATACGAAGATAGAGAAAGGTAAAAGCCCAGAGGCAAAAGACAGATGGGTTAATTTAAAGTTAAGAAAAGCTGGCAAGAAACAAGCCAAAATCAGGCCAGGTGTTTGTAATTAAGAATAAGCTTCCGTGTGTGATTTATTTGGGAGCTGGGTGGTGGGCTCCCCAAAACAGCAAACAACAATCAACAGCAGAAGTCCTGGTTGGGGTGACACCTGGCCCTGTGTGGAAGAAGCATAGATACTGCCAGTGCCACACTGGAGCTGGGAAGGAAGCTGAGAGAACGCATCTTTTATATCACAGGGTTGAGTCAACCTCTAAATTCTCTACCTCTTTAAAGAGATGATTTTTCATGTGTCCACAATGTAATGAAAAGAACCATTTTTGATTGTTAAAAATCTATTACTAATATGATCACAGGTTGAATATCTCTTTTCTGATGTGCTTAGAACTCACCACAGTGTTCCAAAGTTCACATTTTTAGGAAATTTGAAGATTTGCATATATGTAGTGAGATCTCTTAGTGATGGGACCCAAGAGTAAGTATGAAATTCACTGATGCTTCATACTAGCCTTATACACATAACCTCAAGGCAGCATCATACAATATTTTTAGTATGGTTCCATTTTAACTGTGATTTGTCATGTGAGATCAGAAGTGGAATTTTCTACTTGTGGTTCAACAAGTTTTATATTTTGGTGCATTTTGAGTGTTTAGATTCAAAATGTGTGTAGTTATAAAGAAACCCTTTGGAAATGTAAAATGGATACTGTAAAATGTAAAATTAATCTAGCGTGGTCACCATAGTTAATGGTACAGGCAACACTATCTGAATATACATAATGAGGGCCGCGATACCTAGCACCAGCTTGGAGCTTTCTTGCAAACTATTTCCCCGATGAAGCCAGTACGGACAGTGATTGATGGTTAGGTCACTGCGAACGTTCTTTCCCTCTGCATCACTGGAAAAGTTACTGGAACCTTCTGACTGACTGTCCAGCTGTTTCTAATCAAGTTAAATAGAAACTAAAGTTATGCTCTGAACAGAATCCAGGGCTCACTCTTCTTGCCCAGGGTCGTGGTGGTGGTAGGATCTGCTTAGCTCAATAGTGTTGTTAATCCTGTGGAGATGTCCTCGGCTTTCTCGGCTCCCTGTCAGTTGTAGTCTCCCTAGAAGGATGCTGTGCCAAGCCCAAGCATTTGGTTAAGTCTCGTGTTTGACATGGGTTAATATGATAACCAAGACCTCACTAACATTAGAAGCTCTGATGCCTGCCAGAGCCAAGGGGTGATTCAAACACCAAGTTAGAAAACATCTCTTCTGCAAGGCAACCTGGCAGCTTTGTCGGATTTGACTTTAGGTACAAACATCCAAAGTGAAATGTGAGGAAAACTTACTCTATAATATAGGAAAAGAATATAATAATAATAATAATAATAATAATAATAATAATAATAATAATAATATAGGAATTTGTTAGTGTGAAGGCTCTAAAAACAGGCAAACCATGGCTCCCTTCTGACTCCCCACCCTGGATGCCTCCACACACATCATCCCACCTCTGAACAGCAGTGCAAAAGGGATCACCAAGTAAATAAAATGGCATGGTGGTGAATACTATGCCAAGACGAAGATGTCTGAAAAAGTTTAGGTTCGTGGTCAGAAGACAGGAGTCTTAGACGTGTGCCGTTCTACAGCAGCAGCAGTGACATCTCAAACAGAATATTCCAGCAAGCCTCCGACTGCCGGGGAAGCAGCTGTTTTACATGTTAGAGGGTGCACTAGGTTGCTCGCCTTGCTGGCACGTTCCTCCGGTCTGTGGTACCTTTGCTTCCATTGCTCACCTCTTTTGCGTCTGTTCTGCACCTCCAGGGCCAAGTCCCCCGTCCGCAGCACTCTCCTGGGGCACCAGCTGTGCAGGTGGGCAGGGTGGCCCCATCGCTTTTGATGCACAAAGGTTGAGAGATGGACTCAAGTGACAGGGTGTCCTGTGTTCCAGCCTAGCTCTGTCACCTAGCTGTGCGATTCTGAGCTGGTCACTTGACCTCTCCGGATCTGTTTCCTCAGGGGACAGTAGAAATCTCAACCCCGTGAGAGATGGAGCTAAAGAGGACCTTCCGCAGCTCACTAGGCTGAAAGTGCTTGTGACCGTGGGGAAAGAGTGCGCAGGCGCCAGCATCGTGCCAGTAATAAAATTCCCCATACTTCTTTGTAGTCAACAGTTTAGATGCAAGGCGGCATTAAAAATCCAGTCCTCGCATTACTTTGTACAACAGGAAAAATGCCACAAATTCTTTAACTTGATTCCACCTCTTCTGGGCGTGTCCTTGTGAACTGACAACTGCCCCCTCTACCCCTCTTGCTCTGGGAAATACAGCTATGGGATTTACTCTCGCTTCATCATCTGGGTGTGACCTAGTGATGTGAGTATCTACCGGAAGTGCCAGGGGTTTAGGGTAACTTCTGCATGCCTGCACTCACTGCTACCTCTCACCCAGGACTTACAGAGCAGGGGCAAATGGCTTGTCCAGAGGGCCGGTCCTCAGAGCCACACGCCCTCTGATCCTCCGGCCCCCTTTCCCTAGCTGGGAGACACTGCCTCTTCCTTACACCAGCACCCGCACTCTGAACTCACGCTCAGCTTACCCTGTTGGAGAAAGAGTGGGCCCCTCCTGGTGACTTGGCTTTGATGAATAGGCTCCTTAGAACGACTGTACATCTCCCATCCTGGCTCCTGGTCCGGGTGGTCAGCACCA